GGACACTCCGTTACTCTCGTGTGCAAAAAGGATCTGCCCTAGGGGAAGCCTCGGAGGACCAGGTGAGTTGATTTGCTGTCTTCTGCAAATTCTTCCGTGGAAATTTGATGTTCCCGGAATGCAAGTGTGTGAAGGATATTTGAGTGGACAAACACAAGCTGTCGTGTTCTCTGGGAGTGCCTACCCAGGCTTTGTGAACCCCTCCGCTGCTCACTCTGTCCTCCCAGGGGAGAAGACTGCTGAGTTTGCATCCCATGAATCTGCTCCCAGCAAACCAACTGGTTTGGGGGAACGAGGTGATTGTTGGACCCAGACTGCGTCCAAGAACTCTTCTTACCCTAGAACTGGGACTAGGGAAGATTGCAGTCATTTTTCCATATGGCAGTAGCATACAGACCCATAAACTGGCAGAGGATGTGTTTCCTCCTGTTTTCTAGGCACAAGATCAGTGAATAAGAATGTGCCTAGACAGGGAAAGATAGGAGTCATCTGAGGGAACCAGCAGGAGAAACAGAGGGACACTGAAACAGCTCCCTGGTCCTAAGTCCTGCCTCAGACCCACATGTTTCATGAAGACAATCTGTATCTTTACAAAAATGTCCCTTTTTTGCTTTCATTGGTTTTCTTTGTTATAATGAGAGAACTGTAAATATTACATGATCATTGGCTACATGAGTGTTTTTATGGTTTTAATCATGTAATTGATAAAAAATAAATATTTTACCTGGTGTAACCTGTTAATGGTAATTTGCTATTTTTAAGTGGGTTGGTTTTGGCCAAGTGTATCAGTTACCAACTACTACTGTGACAGAGACCACAAATTCAGTTGCTTAAAACAACCCAAATTTATTATCTTACGATTCTGGAGCTCAGAAGTCTGAAATCAATTTCACTGCTAAATTCAAGGTGTCAACAGGACTCACTCTTTCTGGAAGCTTTGAGGGAGAATTCATTTTCTTGTATTTTTCAGCTTCTAAAGTCTGCCTGCATTCCTTGGCTTGTGCCCCCTTTCTCCATCTTCAAATCACATCATTCCAATCTGCTACAAACACTCCTTTTCCAAATCAAGTAATATTGTCAGGTTCCAGAGGTTAGGACCTGATTTGGGGTTATTATTCAGCCTACTGTAAGTCTACTCTGGACCTTTTCAAACTGCATGGTTCAGTTTGTAACCTCTAACATTGAATATTTAAAATTTCAGCCCTGAGGGCAGACTGAAAGCTGTCTTATCAACTCATAAGAACTTTGGTTTTCAGCTGGGCATGGTGGCTCACGCCTGTAATCCTAGCATTCTGGGAGGCCGAGGCGGGCGGATTGCTTGAGCTCAGGAGTTCAAAACCAGCCTGAGCAAGAAGAGTGAGACCTCATCTCTACTATAAATAGAAAGAAATTAATTGGCCAACTAAGATATATATAGAAAAAAATTAGCCGGGCATGGTGGCACATACCTGTAGTCCCAGCTACTCGGGAGGCTGAGGCAGCAGCATTGCTTGAGCCCAGGAGATTGAGGTTGCTGTGAGCTAGGCTGACACCATGGCACTCACTCTAGCTTGGGCAACAAAGCGAGACTCTGTCTCAAAAAAAAAGAACTTTGATTTTCATCCATAAGAGCCATTTTTCATTTGTCACTGAGTCTAAAAGGCTGGTATGTGGCAGATACATGTTGGAATTTTCTTAAATTAGATCCTCAATGATATAAATTGCTTCTAACATACACTAAAGGTTAGCAAAACTTTTTTTTTTGAGACAGAGTCTCGCTTTGTTGCCTAGGCTAGAGTGAGTGCCATGGTGTCAGCCTAGCTCACAGCAACCTCAAACTCCTGGGCTCAAGCAATCCTACTGCCTCAGCCTCCCGAATACCTGGGACTACAGGCATGTGCCACCATGCTCGGCTAATTTTGTCTTTTTATATATTAGTTGGCCAATTAATTTATTTCTATTTATAGTAGAGACGGGGTCTCACTCTTGTTCAGGCTGGTTTTGAACTCCTGACCTTGAGCAATCCACCCACCTCGGCCTCCCAGAGTGCTAGGATTACAGGCTTGAGCCACCTGGCCTGGCCAAGGTTAACAAAACTTTTAAGAGGACATACTTTTTTAATGAAGAGCTTGTATTTATGATTCAAGTGCCACAGAAACACAAAAGAATACAAGTCATCCATGTATTAGTTGTCTATTGCTGTATAACAAATGACCCCAAATTTTACTGGTTTAAAACAACAATAAAAATGTGTTATTTTGTGAATTAGACATTTGGGAGCTGCTAAGATGGGTATTTCTGCCTCAGGATCTTTCACAATGCTGCATACTTAGTGTCAGCAGGGACCCCAGTTCATCTGGTGCTGGAGGATCCACTTGGAAGTGGGTCATTGACTGGGCTATTGGCAGAACACCTCAGTTCTTCCCCACACAGACCTCCCTGTAGAAATGCTTGAGTGACCCTTTTGCCAAATGATTAAATATGTTCTGGTTTTGGATTAGCTGCTCTGCTGCATGGGCCATATGACCCAGCACTTTCAATGGTGCTTGAAGTGTCAGTTCCTGGTAAGGGTTGTTATATGGAACTGTTGGTAGCCCGCTAGACAGGAACAGTAACATAAACCTGCGCCGGTTATTGACTGATTACATCCCAACTCCAGATTTATTACACATTGACTGCTCCAGGAAAATGGATCTGGCCCTTTAGTTTTTCCTTTGCCAACTGGCACGGTGCTAAGCTTTGCCAGTAGAGGGCACTGGAGAGGCATTGCAGGAGGGTGGTTTCCCTTCCTGGTTCTGGTGTTTGCTCTGCAGGCTTCAGAAGCACTCAAGCCTTTTCCAGCCCCAGCTCTTGCAGGGCTGGTGGCTTCTGAATTTGGCTTCTGCAGCCCACAGGGCTTCCCCAGCACCCTGCTCATACAGCACAGGTAGCTCCTCTAACAGGCTCCCGCAGTGTGCACTTCTGCAGCGCCTGGCGCCTGCAGCACGTGGCAGCCTCCCCACAAGCCCCTTCAGGAGTGTAGTAGCAGAGTGTCTCTGATAAGACACCTTCCACATTTAAGGGCTAATTTCCAGCAAGTTCTTCCCATGTGGTGGCACAGCCACTTCTCTGCCATTTAGTGAACCAAAGTCTGGATTTAAGCCCAGGGGGCAGGGAAACCTCTTGCTGGAGTGCTCAGCCCTAAGGGTACGGCTGCTGCAGTCTGCTGTGGCTGTATTATTCAGATTTGGCTTTATTTCTTTCTAGCCAAGTCCATGTTAATGCCACCTGCTTTATAGTTAGTAATATCAAACTTTCCCTGTTCAAATTACTCTGCACTTCTTCTCTCCCGAATAGACCCTGCCTGATACAGAATTAGTACAAGGAATGGTCTCAGGAGATAGATGCACAAAGAAGGGCTCTGGAGACTGGTTTGGTTATGCCTTTGGACTGGAGTGCAGACAGAGCTAGTTGCCAATGGGAAATGGAATGTATATTGTTAGAGTTCTCAAGAGAAACAGAACCAATAGGAAAGATAGATAGATATGGAGATAGGTCTGTATATACCAACATGTATTTCTCCATGTATCTATATATCTCCTATTGGTTCTGTATCTATGTACCTATCTATCTTCATATATCTCTAAATATCTCTATCTATATACAAAAAATAAGGCATTGCCTCACATGATTATGAAAGGCAAGAAGTCCCATGACCTGCTATCTGCAAGCTGGAAGCCCGGGAAGGCCAGTGGTGTAGTTTTAAGGCCTGAGAGCAGAGAGCCAATGGTGTAGTTTCCAGTCCAAGTCTGAAGGCCTGAGAACCAATATCACCAAGAGCAGGAGGAGATCAATGCCCCAGTTAAAGCAATCAGGCCCAGAGGGAGTTCAACCTTCTTCTGCCCTTTTGTTCCGTTCTAGTCTGTAATGGATTGGATGCTGCCCTCCCAGTCTGGAGAGGGCCACCTGCTTTACTCACTCTGCCAATTCAAGTGTTAATCTCTTCCAGAAACACCCTCACAGACACACCCAGAAATAACATTTAACAGCTAACTGAGCATCCCTTGGTCCAAATTTGAACATAAAATTAACCAACACAGGATGCTAGTTATCCATAGCATGCACAATAATATCACAATTAATCAAGCTATCAGCAGTGGTGGATTATGATGACGTGCCAACTAAAGCGCACGCTTTGAGGGAGCAAGAGCCTGCTGCACCTGATCATTATGTTAGTAATGATGATATATGGCCATGGTATGTGATACATTATTTTTAGTGCACTTAAGCATTTACAGTGAGAAAATGACAAACCCAAGTTCCTTAACTCAGCTCCATTCATAGTCTGAGGACCAGAGAACTTTCATGACAGCCTAGAAGAAGCTTTTATTTCTTGTAGGCACAGTGATAATATTGCTGAGAATCAAACAAAATTTAACAGGTTGCTGCATAACAATGCCAGCTACAACCCTGGGCATAGTGGCAAGCAGTAGTCCCAGCTACTCAGGAGGCTGAGGCAGGAAGATTGCATGAGCTGTGATGATGCCACGGCACTCTGGCCTGGGTGACATGGTGAGATCCTGTCTCAAAAAAAAAAAAAAAAAAAAAACCCTGAAATGGGTGGGGACATCTGGTTGGAACCAGATGAAACTGACGGCCTTCATTCCTCAAGTCACTCTGAGCCTCCCTTACCCGTGGAAGTAGTTTGCCCTCAGTATCTGCTAGCCTTCCTCTGCTTGAAAACCCAGGATAACCTCACCTAGGGCAGGTGCCATGAAAGGGGATACCCACCCATTCTCAAGGTCCCCCCAACCACTCTGTGTTGCCAAAAGACTCATAACTAAGATCAAATCTCAATATGCTCCAAAGGGAAGGATATGTACTATGATCCAGGAGGAAACAGCTTATACACCAAAAGAATTCAAGACTGCTAATATATACTAGCAGAAACCTGGGGCACAAGTGTGAGAGTAGATTCCAAGGATAGCATACCAAAGAGGACAGAATATTTAAAAAAGGTCAGAATAAATTCATTGATAATGGGTGCTTACTAGAAACTTCAAATTTAATGTTAACTTGTACAGCTACAGGTGGCTTTAACAGTTTAGTCCATTTCTTTGCTGAAATTTGGACTCAGTGGCAGCCTTCAGTTAATGAGGTTGAGATGCCAGAAGTGCAATTGGCATGACGGGAAAGAAGAAACCCACAAACTTAGGGAGATAGAAATACTGAGGGTGTGTATTGTATGTCAGATGTATACCCACCCCACCTCCAACTATCTTTTATCAGAAGGCAGTTCTTTCCTTAAGTCTTTGAGAAAAGCATTAATGAGAGGATCATCTGAATCCTTGAAAAGCTGTTGTTGCTCTACTGGTGAGGTTTGTATTCATCTTCATGGCCAGCCTGGAGCTTTGTTACCTGAGAACAGAAAAACTGGTGTGTTCTAGGAGGAACTGAGGTGCGAGCCATTGAGTGCTGCCAGAAAACCTGCCTGGCCACAGGTCACAAGCTGACAGAGAAGCATAAGTATGAGGGAAGTTCGAATATCTCCATGACCTCCCCATTCTCCACCCTTCACAGGACACCAAGGAGAAGCCTCAGGCCACTGCGCCCAACAAGTCTCCTGCTTACTCTTGCCCCCATAGTCCCACCTCTTTAGCCTCATCTCCTGACTCCTCTCCCCCTTCCCCAAACAGGGATGTCATTTCAGCTCTTGTTAATCTTCGTTAATCTTCTCCTCATGACAGGCCCTTTATTCATCCTGTTGCCTTTACTTGAAAAGTTCTTCCTGTAAATCCTTGTGGAGGCTTCTCCTCAGCTTAAAGTCTCAGCTTCAATGTCCCCTCCTTGGAGGGGGCCTTCCCTGACAGTGAAGTTCCTATCATCCTCTAAGGCTTCAGCTAGTTCTTTCTTTCTGGCATTTGTCACTACTTGAAATTAATGCAGGTGTCATTTATCTGTTTGTTAATCTCCCTAAATAGACTGGAAGTTAGTGAGGGCAAGGATCTTGGTAGGCATTTTCGTCGCTTATTCGTCAACATTTAGCAAAGGACCTGGAACGCAGGCATTTGTTTCTTACTTGGAAAATGAATGGGTGAACGCAGCCAAGCCCCTACTGTTAACGTTTCCTGGCCCTCTGGCCCCTCACGCATCACCCAGAGCCACGCCCCTCTTTGCACGGCCCGCCTCAGTTTCTCCAGCTGCCAGTGAAGAGGACCTCCGTCTCTTTCCTGGCTGCTCTCCGACGGCTGTGGCCGCAGCCAAGCCTGGCTCTCCCCTGGCAGCATCGCCAGCCACTGCTCCGGAACTCAGAAAGTGCTACAGCGCCGGCGGGAGGTGCCCGGGTCCCGCCGAGCTCTGGGGCAGGGGCCAGGACTTCCCCGTCGCCACAGTGGCCGCTCGAGGCCGGAAGTGGCCCTGGCCCTCCCTCCCCACGCTCTCTAGGACTGCAGGAGGCTCGGCATCTCGATGGCAGGCCCGGGAAGGCAGTGGCGCGGGGGAGCCGCCTCTGAAGGCTCGGAGGACGGCATCGAAGCCTGGAGTCCAGCCTCCTGGTCTTTGGTTCCTTCAGCAAAGAACTCCCGGAACAAGGGAAAAGGGAAAGTTTCAAAGCCAGGGGCCCGGAACAGTTGCCCGGGCAACCGTGCCGCCTGAGGCGTAGAAGAGGAAGGGCCGCGCCAGACACGACCGTCAGCCACGATTGGTCAGTTCTTCTTGGACCGCCCCTTGCTCTGCCCCCGACAGTTGATTGGCTAACAGCAGCGGGGGTGGGACTTCCGGACGTGGTCCTGCGGGCGGTGGGCCTGAGCTGCTGGAGCTTGGACCCTGGAGACCCTGGCACGGAGTGCTGGTCCCTGAGCGCCTACAGCAAGGACCCAGGGCCTAGCCAGCAGGGACCCCGCGCAGGCCGCAAGGAAGGGAGTGGGAGACCAAGGTGGAAATACTGTCCCGTCCGCCCTTACCCTCACCGTCCACGCGGGAGCGCAGGTCCGCGATAATCCAGTCAGGCCAGCTTCTCTAGTGGCCGAGGAGCTGGGATGGAAGAGTGAGCAGAAGCCGGGCAGACGTCTAAGCCTCCTCACCCTCTGCCCAGAGAGACACCAAGACCCTTCTCTGGCTTCCTCCCCTCCAGCCTCTCAGTGAGCACCTTTGGCCTGGCATTCAAGGCCCTTCCATGACAGTCCCAACCCCTCAGTCTTAGTTGCTCTGGTCAAATATTTCCCAAACTGCTAAGTTCCACTCTTAAAATATTTTTGCGAGATCTGTCCAGGAATGGTGGCCTCTCGATGGATCACTAGAGGGAGAAGCGGACAGAGCCCCAGGGAGTGTCTGCAGAGTAGGGCGCTCTGCAGGCACCATCCCAGGGGCCTTGGAACCACGTCCCCCTCTGCCATGAAAGGGGAACATTTATCCTGGATACTGTGATCTCTGAGCTCCCTAGAGGCACGAGTGGAGTCTTTAAAGACTCCTGGATCACTCAACAGACCTCTGAATGGTTCAAACTCTGATACCTGGTCTCTGACGCACTGTCTATGCATCATAAGGGACTGAAATCAAAGCAAGCAATATCCACTGTGCAAGTGAGTATGCTAAGCTGTCTTGCCAAGTGATGACAGCTTCCAGTGTCATTTTAACAAGTCTCCTTCCCACCTCGCTCCTTAATTAGAAAACAATCTCCTTGAGAGTAACCCTGCCTTACAAGTGGGAGTCCCCATCAGCCCCTCACACTGAGGCAAGCAGGGAAATCCCATTTCGGGCTGAGTGATTGGAACCATGAAGACAAGCTGAAGGAAGGGAACTGACTTTTTTCTGGCCTTTGAGAAATAACCATGTAATTCAACCAGCCCTGCCAGCGACCCAACCCTAGATCCCACTGAGACCTGTCAGATACCACCAAGCCCCGCCTTGACTCACACCAGTCAGCAGCTTCCTGGTGTCCAACTGATTACATGCCCCACCACACCAACTCCAGCTGAGCCCAATGTCCCTGAAGGTCAAGACCATTGGCTGTTCCACTCTTTTTAGACAGCCCTGCCTCATAATATCATGTATTAGTAAATAGCTGTTGGGGTGCGTGGAAACAGGTCTTCCTTACAGGATAAAATACCAGACCTAGTCAGGCACAGTGGAACAAACCTATAGTCCCAGCTATTTGGGAAGCCAAGCCAGGAGGATCACTTGAGCCCAGGAATTCGAGGCTGCAGTGCCCCAAGACTGTACCTGTGAATAGCTACTATACTCAAGCCTGGGTGACATAGTGAGACCCCACACACAAAAAAACCCAGACCTGTATCTGAACCCCAGATTCCAGCTCTCTACTTGTACGACTTTGGGCACGTTATTGGATTTCTCTCTCTGCCACAGTTTCCTCATCTATAAACCTGGAATAATAATGTCCATTCATAGTTGTGCAGAGGAGAGGCAGTGCTTGGCCCCAGGCCTGGCAGAGCAGCTGCTCAACAACTGGCAGCTAACATTACTCTTCTTTGATCCACTATCCTGTTCAAGCCACTGTGTCCCTTAGGAGCTGGGAGCCAAGGAAAGCTGCAGCCACCCTGGTGGCTCCATAACCGTGGAAACAGGTGGGTCTCTGTGGCCTGATACAGACTTGCTCATGGTCAGTTGGTGTCAAAGCTGAAAGTTCTCTTGGGAACTGAGCCACAAATATAGGATAATAGGCTCAGTCCATTCCCTCCCCCCAGAGGAAAAGTAGAGAAGGGGACATGGAAGCTACAGAGGTTAAAAGCCAGGGGAAGACCAGGAGTCAAACAGCTGGGCAAATTATAAAGGACATAGACCAAGAGGTCAAGGGGGTGAGAAGTAGCAGAGACAGGTGGCAGCAGCTGCATAATGGACCAAGAGGGAAAGTGGTCCCTGGTAAGCGAGGATCCTTGATGGATCACAGGGAGGCCCCAATGGAAGCAAGTGGGGAAAGGCCAATCACAAAACTCAGCCACCAGCACTTGAGGAAGCACTGAGCATGCGTTCCCAAGCGGGCTCTGCCTGACTCTGGGCTCCTGAAGGGAAGAACTCAGTGGGCAATGCCCTTGGGACAGTGACAGCAGCAGCAGACAGCCTGTCCATGGGTCCACAATTTCAGAAGTGGCTGGCTTCAGGCTTGGAAACCTCTGTACTTAGAAGCCTTTGCATGCATGTATGTATGTTTGTATGTATTTATTTTGAGACAGTCTTGGTCACCCCAGGTTAGAGTGCTATGGCATCATCATAGCCCACTGCAGCCTCAAACTCCTGGGCTCAAACAATCCTGCCTCAGCCTCCAGAGTAGCTGGGACTATAGGCGTGCTCCCTGAGGCCCGGCTAATTTTTCTATTTTTAGGAGAGATGGGGTCTAACTCTTGATCAGGCTGGTCTTAGACTCCTGAGCTCAAGTCATCCTCCTGCCTCGGCCTCCCAAAGTGCTAGGATTACAGGTGTGAGCCACCACGCCCAGCCTGTGTGTCAATTTATAGGCAAAAGGGACCCCAAGCCAGGTCACAGCTGGGGTTGTCCAAGTCTGAAGCAGTGACTCAAGGATGCCTGAATGAGGACACAAGGTTGGCCCGGAGCCCCCACCACCACCACTAGCATGCTTAGTGGAGGGGGTGGAGCGCCATGGCCCCATAAGACAGAGCTGTAGGCCAGCACTTGCAAGTCCAAGGCCTTTAATGTGCAGCTAGAGAGCCTGCCCCTCCTCGCCCTCGCCCCTCCCACATCGCCATGCCCCACCCCATGCCTGATCCTCCCGCTCCTTTCCCACACCCTCTGGCTCCTCCCCGGGGGCCTCCACTCTTCCGGGAGTCCCAGCGTTCCTGGGTGCCCTGGTCCCTCTCTCCCGGCCTCCTAGGTGGGGGCAGGTGGGGGTGCAGCCAGAGCCCCCGCCGCCGCCCCCAGCATCAGCATGGCCAGGGCCTTGGGCCCTGAGGTGTGGATCTTCTCGTGCCGGTGCAGGTTGGAGCGCCGGCTGAAGCTCTTGCCGCAGAGCGGGCAGGCGTAGGGCCGGACACCGCGGTGCGTGCGCTGGTGGGCGGTGAGGTGCGAGCTGTGGCTGAAGCTCTTGCCGCAGTCGAGGCAGTGGTAGGGCTTCTCGCCCGTGTGCGTGCGGTTGTGCGCGATGAGGTTGGAGCGCTGGCTGAAGCACTTGCCGCACTCGGGGCACGGGTAAGGCTTGACCCCCGTGTGGGTGCGCTGGTGGGTGACCAGCGCTGAGCTCTGCGTGAAGCACTTGCCGCAGATGGGGCACTTGTGTGGCTTGGCGCCCGTGTGGGTGCCCTGGTGGGTGACCAGGTCCGAGCGGCGGGTGAAGCGCTTGGCGCAGCGGTCGCACACGTAGGGCTTCTCGCCCGTGTGGATGCGCTGGTGCTGGATCAGCGTCGAGTGGTGGCTGAAGCTCTTCCGGCAGGCGGGGCAGGTGTAGGGCTTCTCGCCCGTGTGGATGATCTGGTGCTGGATGAGGTGCGAGCTGCGGCCGAAGCGCTTGCCGCAGTCCGTGCAGGCGTAGGGCTTCTCGCCCGTGTGCGTGCGCCGGTGCGTCACCAGGTGCGAGTGCCAGCTGAAGCCCTTGCCGCACTGCTCGCACTTGTACGTCTTCTTGCCCACGTCGCCGTCGGGAGCAAGGCCCTCCTCACCACTCTCTGGGGTACCCTTTTCCTCCTCACTGGGTTTCTCTGGGACATGGCCCTCCTGGGGCTTCGGGGCACTGGCGTCCGGCAGGGCTGGATTCGGCTGCCCGTCTTCCAGGGCACCCGGCTGCCGAGCGTCTCCCGCCGGCCCTGAGCTCTGGCCACCAGCTGCTTGCTGCCCACACGGCAGGACACCCTGGGCCCGGCCTGCCCTGGTTCTGAAGGGCTTCACATCCCCAGGGGCTGCCACAGGCGGGGTCAGCTCCTCCTGCCCCACCTCAGGGGCTCCTGGAGAGAAAAAGAGGATTTCTAGCCAGAGGGCAGCTTTCCTAAGGGACACGGCGGTTGGGTGGGGAAGGCCCAGCTCAAGGTGGGGGCAGGAGTCTGGGAGACTAGAAAGGTCACCGGCCCAAGGAGACTCCTGGAAGCAAGAGCCACCCTCTATGGAGGATGGGGTCTGGTGGCCCTGTCCCAGGAAGGGCCAGTGTCACGCCCATAGAAAGTACACAGAAGGCCACATCCACAAGGGGCACCTGGGAATGACAGCGCCCACTCCTCACTTCCCCAGAACAAGGTGCCCACGCCTCACCTGTGTTCATGCCTCTCTCCTCCTGCTCATCTCCTGTCTGCTGGCTCGAGGTCGAGGCCTCACCCTTGCCCTGGACTTGGGGGACCCAGAAAGGCCTGGTGAAGGGAAACCCTGCCCGGAAAGACATGCTGTGCTTGTCACCAACCTTCTGGGCTGCCCAGCCATAGATACCATCCCCCAAAAAAGGATGGGGCAAGACGGGAGTGAGGCTCTGGAAACGTGGGGTAAAGCAAAGCGGGACTCCGTGCCCAATTCCTGTGGGCAAGAGGGTCTGTCCCCGTGTCAGTGAGGAGAGGCCATAGCATCTCTTCCCCGTGCTGAGCTGGGCCTGTCTCCTGGTTCTCTGAACAGCAACAAAGTTCAAGTGAGAGGAGCTGGGCCAGGTCAGGGGCTGGCAACGCCGTTACGTCACCACAGCCCCGGAGTGGTGGGCCCAGCCCTGTCAGAAACAGGACCAAGGTCTCGATCCTGCACACACACTTGAGAAGGACTTGGGGAAGTGGGCACGGAAGCCAAGTGGGAGGGGCTGGGGTAAGAGGACCAGGGCCGCTGGTGACCAGGAAGTCTCCCCATTTGCCAAGTCCTGGGCTGACGGGCCTGGGAATTTTGGTAGAGTCGGTAAGAGGGCAGAGGGGCCCTGGCGTCCACGACTCGAGGGAGGAAAGGAACACACCGGACCAACCGGGTGGTTAGGGGCGTCCATGACGCCTGCAGTAGGGCTGTGAATGGATGCTAAGTTCCCTCAGATCTCCCAGCACTTGCCTGCACTTGTTGGTCTGAGCCCTGGAGAATGTTGACGGGTGGTGAGCAAACCTGAGCTAATTAAAGGAGTGAGCGGGCGGCTGGTGTGGGCCAGTGGGGGTCTCGGGACCGCCAGTGAAGCCATAGGATGGAATTGCCAAGTTCCCGGGATTCCGCCTGCACTAGCAGGTATGAAATGGCTGTGTGTTGGCTGAATGAATGACAGTGAATGAGTGAACACTCTGATTTTTCCATAAGACCTCATAAAATTCTGTCAGGAAGGCCGGGCACAGTGGCTCATGCCTGTAATCCTAGCACTCTGGGAGGCTGAGGCGGGTGGATCGCTCAAAGTCAGGAGTTTGAAACCAGCCTGAGCAAGAGCGAGACCCCGTCTCTACTATAAATAGAAATAAATTAATTGGCCAACTAAAAATATATAGAAAAAATTAGCCGGGCTTGGTGGCGTGTGCCTGTAGTCCCAGCTACTTGGGAGGCTGAGGCAGAAGGATCACTTGAGCCCAGGAGTTTGAGGTTGCTGTGGGCTAGGCTGACGCCATACCACTCTAGCCCACACAACAGAGTGAGACTCTGTCTCAAAAAAAAAAAATTAAGGAAAATTTAAAAACTCAATCATGGTACCCACATTTCAAGTGTGCAACAGCCAGTTTGGCTTGTGGCTACTGTACTAGCAAGATGCATAACATTCCATCACTGGGAAGGTTCTTTAACAGTGCTGTCTAGTGGACAATGAGGGGGACCAGGGTGAGGATAGGAGGGAGGGGATGGCAGGGCAGGCCCCCTGTCTCTGACCCCCAGATCCCCAAACAGGTGAGCTCTTACCCAAGGACAGCCCATTTCTCTTCTGTAGGATGTCCCGGTAGAAGTTCTGCTGCGCGTGGTCCAGCCGTCCCCACTCCTCTCGGGAGAGGTACAGAGCCACGTCCTCAAAGGTCACTGGCATCTGAACAACGCAAAATGTCCACTCTGCAGGATGTGCCATGGACACAGTGGAGGGACATCAGGATACCAACACAAGTTTCGAGCCCTGGACTCCCAACCTGTCTCAAGCGAGGCTGCCACTCGCATCTGATGGTGACACAGGAGAGCCAGCCAAGGATGGCCTTTCTTGAGGCAGGTGGGGGGCGAGAGCCAAGCAGTATTTTCAGGGACCACAGCTAACGCTCAGGGTGTGCACAGACCCCACCCCAGCTCAGACGCAGGGGACCGTTCCCAGTCAGGGAGCCCGTGTCTCTACCTCCTCCTGCTTTTCCTCCAGCGTGGCCAGGCCTGACCATGGGGCCCAAGCCTGGAGAGAACACGCAGGTGGCCACTCAAGCGGCCCTGCAGTGAGAGCCCCAAGCCACAGGCTCCGGCTCCACATGGGAAGGTCAGTGGGGTCCTGGCTTCATGCACGGAGCCAGCAGATGCAGGAAGGGCTGAGCACCACGTGGAGGCTGGGAAAGGGCCACTCACCTGGGACCAGGCCGTGAGGAGTGCCGCGGCCATCTGCCGGTCTCTGGTCCTCCCCTCTCGGGAAAGCACTGGGATCCGGGGGGAGGGGAGGGCTGCGAGAGGAGAGGCGTCCTCAGGGTGACTAGGTTGTCCCGCTGGTCTGCTGCTCCTCCTGCTGCCTCAAACCCCACCTCCAACCCCATCCAAGGAGAGTGTAAACAGCTCTGAGGCCGCCACGGGGTGGGAGGCCAACCCCAACCCCTCCAGGTACAGAGCCCCTCAACCCCACCTGAACCTCCACCCTCCACGCCCCTTCCTACCTCCACCAGGCAGGAAGAGAGCTTTCTCCTTAGAGCCATGACTTAGGGGCACCCAGCCCCATGCACCTCGGGCCCTGTCCTCCTGCGATGCCCCCTCGGGGTGCGGCTCTTCTGGTTCCATCTTAACGTGCGGTGACTCCCAAGTGGCTCCCAAAGGCACCATCTCCTCTGACCCAGAAAGCATTTCCTGACAAGGATGCCCATGGCCGGGGACCTGGAAACAACAGCCCCTCAGTAAGTGGTGGAGGGGGAGGCACACCCAGAGCTGCGTGCCTGAGGGCCCAGCAGGACAGACGCCCAGATGCGGGGCACAGCATGAAGGACTGGCCTTGCTTCGTCCTCTCCTGCTCAGCCCAGCCAGGACGGTTGGGGGTGCGAGTGAGGGAGACCCCTCCAGGCGCTGCCACAGTGCAGGTGGGCAAGGTGCCCTGAGGGCAGAACCTCTTCTCAACTCAAGCCTTACCCGGCCACGCAGTGTGGACGGCTGGTTTTTAGTATATGAGAAAACCAGGTGTAGTGGCTTGAACAGTGTCCCCTAAAGTCCGTGTCCACTCTGAGCCTCAAAGTGTGACCTTATATGGGAAAAGGGTCTCTACAAAGGTAATCGATCATCCCAGATTTAGAGTGGGCCCAAACTCTAACTAGACTTATGTCCCTGTAAGAGCAGGAGAGGACAGAGACCCAGAGCGGGAAGCAGGGAGGGGGTGATATGAGGCCGAGCAATACCAGGAGCCCCCAGAAGCTGGAAGAGGCGAGGAAGGATCTTCCCCGAGAGCCTCTGGAAAGAGTGTGGCCCTGCCACCACCTCGGTTTTGGACTTCAGCTTCCAGGACTGTGAGTAAATTCTGGTTGTTTTCACCCTGTGAGTGAAGATTTTTACGGCAGCCACAGGACACTAATACAGCCAGGCTCAGAGATCAGACAGCAGCCCTCAGTCATGTAGCTCAAAAGCTCTGGGAAAGTCACTTTCCTCACACTGGGAGGCCCTGGGGAGGCCTTATGGGCCCTGGCCGGCCTTCTGGTCAGGACTCAAACCTACTCCTCCACCCCCCATCTGCTGGGTGTTGAAGGGAAAGAACCAGACCAGGAGTCAGAGTGCCCCAGCGCCAGACCCTGTGACCCCCCCCCCCTAGCCAGCCGGGCAGCCTCCGGAAGGCCTCTGCTCTGCCACCTGCCCAGAGCAGTAATGAGGTTTCACACAGATAAGGAGTGAGAAAGAGCTGCCTGCTCAGGAAAGTTCTGGATAAACACAGCAGCACTGGTAATTATCACTGTACTTGTGTGTACTTGACAGAACCCAACATCAGCAGAGAATATTGGCACGTTCAAGGCATACAGAAGTCACTGTGGAAGGGAATCTGAGCAGGGGTAACCATTCTTTGTACTTCCATGGTATCAAAACAAGAACTTATACTTGATTTGCATTTCTATTTACAATCATAGGCAGTACTAGTTGAGAGGTTTCTCTGACTTAGCTTCTAGTTGTCGCAGGTGTTCTTGTTTCACACGCTACAATAATAACCTGTCCCGGGCTGATGAACTGCCTCCACAGGACTCATGCCCATTACCTCCTTCCAGCCTCCCAGTGACCTGATGAGACAGGTGGGAACGGCAGGCACATGATCCACATTTACAGATGACACACCTGGTTCCCATGGGCCAGGGGACTTGCCCAAGGTCACACACCTGGCCTACAGCTGACTCATACTCCTCTGACTCCAAGCCCAGAGACCCTGGTCCCCTGTAGGTGGTAATTACACACACACACATACACACACACACACACACACACACACACACACACAGAGGCACCAGCATAGAAAGAACTGGAAGCTCAGACCCAGAGAGATGAGGAGATGTGGTCCCAGGTAGAGGGAAGTTGGAAAGTAGATTAAGGCCTCCCTGTGTGCTTCGAGCACTGTTCTGAGAGAGAAATGCACTGGTAGGACCCCTGCATAGCCCCCCTGCTATCCCATGTGGCCACCGACTACAAAATTCCCCGAGCAAAGCAAAACAGTTACACTGTCAATTCCAGGTGGAGGGTATTTCCGTCTTGCCACCTTCTTTTAACCCCCACCCCCAATGTCCCCATCCACCAGCCCTGCCCCTGCCTTGAAGACCCATTCCAGGCCCTTCCACAGCCTCCTTCACCTGACCTGTCCGTACCTCCTGGGCTCGATCCTTGTCCTGGGTGGCCTGGATGCCTCCACCATCTGCAGACATTTTCTATTTCAGAGCTAGAAAGAACAGCTGAGTTGTTCCTCCCTCTTTTTGGCCGAGCCCCCTCCAGCTTCTGGCCAGCAGCCTAGAAGAGCAGAAAGGAATCAGCAGTGCTTGCTGGACACCTCCACAGTGCCCAGAAAATCCCCGGGAGGACCAGAGCTCACTGGTCCCAGTCAGAAATAAAGTCTCCCAGACCGGATCCAACGGTCTCACTTTCTATGATGTGTTTGGTTCCTCCTTTTGCAAGTCGCTGAAGCAGGAGCCCGCATCGCAGTGAAACTGGCTCAGGGAAAGCTGGGCTAAATCAGAATCAGCATTTCCTGTCACCAGGAGCACAAAGTTCTGCAGAGATCCTACAAAACAGGTGCTGGTGGGGCCCCACCCGGCAAAACCAGAGGCATCCAGGACCCACTGTGGCCCCGCCTGACTCTCAGCCGCAGCTGGGATTCAGAAATCAACCTGCCCATTCTCAGGAGCCCCTCCTGCAGCTGCAGCCATGTCCATCCTGCTCACTGTCCCCGCAGACGATGTCATTCTTCCCACACCCAGGTCCTGGCCCCCTTCTCTCCTGCTAACCCAAAGCCTTCCACTTTTGACCACATCTCCTCCTGCAAGCTGATCACCTGTGCCGGTCTCAGGATCCAGGTGCCCTCCCCAGCACCCCCTTCTTACCGAGATGGAGGAAGCAGGACCCCCTCCCCAGGGAAGGGAGTCTCCGCAGCCTGCACCAGGCGGGCGGGGGAGCAGAGTGGAGACTGGGATTAGGGACAACAGGAAGTCCCTCCCAGATCCTGTTCCCCGTGCAGCTGCAGCTCTATAGGGTTCCTGGCTTCGAGGGTTCCGGGTCTGGGGTCCCAAGCCTGGACTGCACCTGGCCAGGAGGTGACTACCAGGTCCACGATGCCAGCTATTGATGATTGCTTTACCCAGCACAGATTCGGGATACCAGCAAAGCAGGGGCCCCAAAACAGAAAAATGGGAAGATGCATTTTGTGGGAAGATTTTGACATTTGACGTTTCCAAGACAGCATCGCAGTTGTCCTTACAGAAGTTATTTTGCCCAGTTGAGGGACAGGACCATTCTTTCCAGCACACAGGGATTCTGAAGGTCTTATTAATAGTTGCTTCCTTTGGGCTTCTGGATTCATTTAAGGCCCCCCAGGTCAGGGAGTTCTCTGGTTCCCCCAAGACTGGCAAGGAGCTGTCTCTCCCTAAGAGTGACTTTAAGAAACAGAGAGGCTGGGAACCCCCACCCCCACCCTGATGCCCTGCCCTCCCAAAGATGTAGGTAAATCTAATTTTTCCAGACCCACTCCAGCTCGGGGATAGAGGGCATGAGAGGTCTGACCCCACTACTCATGGGGTTCCAGATCCACAGGCAGCTTCAGATTCCACCTCTCAGGCTCCACTTTAATTTTTTTTACTTAGTTTCTAACATTTAAAAATGAGAAGAGTTCTCATAAAATCGATTTTTTAAAAAATTAGAACATAAAGAAAAGCAGAACATTTGGTAATGATGGACTGACATTGTCAGAGCCGGGTGGCCACAGTCCCTTCTTAGCCCCCTAAGCACTTGAGTTTACAACTCTCTCTTGGAGCTAAACATGTTTTAGGAGTCCTGGGATTCTATGGATTCTACTGTCAATTTGATGAAAGAAAAATTACCACTAGGGTTTGTCTCTGGTTAGTATCTCTAGGTGCTTTAATCCTCAAGAAGAGGGACGTACAATATGGTAGCAAAAGTCAATACTGTTTTCAAGCCAGAGTAAGCGATAAACTGAAACAAAGCAAGGGAGGGGCAGGTCCCAGGAACAATGACAGTACTCAGTTGGCCAACAAGGAGCAGAGCTCAGGTTAAGGGAACCCACTCCTGTGGGGACCAATTCAACCCACACCTTCCCAGGAGTGCACCACGTCCCCAAAAAGTGTATGTGCCCTGACTTCTGGACAAAAGTTTCTTCACCAGCAAAAGGGGCCAATTGTGGGGCATGGGGGAGTCCAGAGGTTTGAGGCCAAATGAAGTCTGAGTATTTATTTACTTGGTCAAAGAATATTTATTGAGTACTTACTATGTGGCAGATATGAACCCCATCTAGGGATTGAGAGCAATTCCTTCCAGGGCAGGCTTCAGGGTGTAAGATGGGAGGGCAAAAGGACTTCAAGAGCCTTTACAAAATCATATTTTGTTTAAACAGGAAGGTTGCAGGTCCAGTAAGCAGCCAAAAAAGAATTCGATTTCTATGTGAAATCTCCTGACTTTTAAATTAATGACAAAAACATTAAAATTTCAGAACAAATCCAACAGAACATGCCTGCTGCCTACGTCCAACTCACAGGCCACCCTTTTAGGGATGTACTAACCTCCCAAGAATCACCTATACGATGAAGGCGCTCAGCAGAGCTGCAGGCATGGGAAACACTGAACAAATGCCAACTCCCGTACAGCCCGCTTTACTGACCTGGATTAAGGCAGACACTCCACCTTCAGTGGATAAATCCTTATCTGCTCTCAGAGATTGGCCTGACGGTTAACTCAAGACATAAAGAATAATGAAGATTAGAGGAAAAACATCATCTGAAGTAAGAACAAAATAACTGGCACGAATTAAGGCGGCGAAGCCAGGCTGGAGACCTGCACTAACGCAAGGCAGAGACGGAGCCCTAGGAAGGAAAGTGGACCACAGGGGAAAATAAAGAACTGTAAAATCGGTAAAGAAAAATAAGAGTAATAAACAGCGGAGCAAATGTTAAACACTGAAGAAGAAGAAAGGGAAATCAGTAGAAACGTTAAACAGGTGTGGCTCCAGGGAATAAAAACTTTCTAACAAAAAATATCTACGAACTGCCAGGGCCGCTGTAGACCAGGGCGTGGGAGGCCGAGCGGCCGCGGCCCGCTCGTCCCCGGAGGCGCGCAGGCGACCCCGCGACCCGGTCCCCGAAGCCCACGCGCCCGCGGGAGACACGTTCGGAGCCGCGGGAGGCCAGGGAGCCCCACGCGCGCCAGTCCCGCCGCCCAGCGCCGCAGCCACACAGCGCGGACGCGGGCAGCACGTCGCCTTGGCAACGCCGCTGCTCCGCCCCGCACGCGCGCCCACGGGCGACGCCGGTGATTGGCTGGAGCCCCGCTGGCCGCGCCCCTCCACTCAGCCCCGCCCCTTCGGGCACCGCCCAGCCGTCCGCACCTGCGCGCTCGCGTTGGCGCCCCCTGAGGCCATCTCTGCCAAGCCAGAGGGGTCACCCTAGTGCCGGCCGACCGGGCCGGTGTCCCCGCGTTTCCTGTCCGGCTGCCTCATTGCAACTTCCGGCTTGCACGACTCTCGCAGCGCCCCACCTGCCCGGCCGTGGGGGCGGGGGCAACCAGAGCGATGAGGATGGCGGGGCCAGGGTCCCTGGGTCCTGGAGCCTGCCTCCAAACGTCGGGGAACAGGCAGCGCACCAGAGGGCCGTCCGCCAGAGAATGCCGGGGCCGCGTCTGTGCCTGCGACCCCGGAGTCTTAATTACGGGAGAACTGAACCTCCGGGGCGAGGATCCGGATCCATGAAGCGCCGATCCCGGCTCTGCCCCGCGGTCCAGCCTCCCAGGTCGGGAGTCCACCCCCTACACTCACCTGTTTGGGATGTTGTTTTGTTATGTTTCAAAAATGAGAGTATACCATATGCTGCTGACCTGCCCCCTCTGTGTGTGTGTGCATGTGACATATATCTTAAAGATTGTTCAAAATAAAAAGCATACAGAGAAAAATAGGGGGGAAAACCCACGCAGCATTGCTTTGCCTTTTTGTGGTGGTGGTGGTGGTGCGTTTATTTTGCTTTGTTTTTGTTGGAGACAAGGTCTCACTCTGTTCAGGCTGGAGTGCAGTGGTGTCATCATAGCTGACTGCAACCTCCAACTCCTGGGCTCAAACAATCCTCCTGCCTCAGCCTCCTGAGTAGCTGAGACTACAGGCACTTGTCAACACGCCTGACTACTTTTTCTATTTTTTGTAGAGACAGGCTCTCACCCAGGCTAGTCTCCAACTCTTGACCTCAAGCAATCCTCCCACCCTGGCTTCCCAGAGTCCAAAGTGGTAGGATTACAGGCATGAGCCAAGCTACCATACCCAGCCTTGTTTTGTTTTTAACTAGGACATGTTCTGTTGTATGAATCTATTCAATTTCCTTAACTAGTCCCCCACTTGCTACTCAATTCTTGACCCTGTGGCCTTGCAGTAACTGGAACTACGCCAGCAGCTATTACCATGGAGCCTTTGCTGTTTCCTAGTGAATGAACAAGATTACATCTGAGCTTGCAAATAGGGGGAGATGGAGAGGCTGTCATGCACCTGGAGGAGCGTCCCCAGATCCATTCTCCTGGCCCAAACCCGGCTCCTGGATTTCAGCCCTTATGCTAGCCGGGCAGCCTGCCCATCACAGTTGGGGAAAACAGCCTTTTCGTGACCTGGACAAGCCCTGGGGGACAGGAAGAGCATCTCTAGGCAGCAGCACCAGGTGCTTCTTTCTTTCATCATTAAGGTTGGTAGCTTCAGCTTCAACTAGGCAAGCTGTGAACTTCAGGACCAGAAAACCCCGAACACCTGCACCCCAGGGAGATAGTATAGGACAGGGGTCCTCAAAACACTGTCATCATCCCAAAATACCCTTCACTGCTGCTCCCACCTCTTGCCAACTTCGAGCAAAGGACCCTCTCGTGTTGAGTAGAGTTTCAGGCTGCGTTTACTCATACATACACAAAAGCCTGTGCAGCCCGCGGGCATGGGGCCCACAGAGGCACTCGGACCTGACCTGCTCAGCATCAGAGCAGAGGGTGGGGGTGCCCAAGCACCCACCCCTATGTCCTTTCCAGGGGGTGTCCTCACCCTTCCCTCTTGCTGCTGTCTCTGCACCCTCCCCAACCCCAGCCCTGTGATTCTGTCCTCTGTGTGTCGTGTGATCTTCATTTCACACACATCTATGTTATATTGTTTGTAATCCATTAGGTGTGAAAATCATAGAACTTTCATACATTTATCTCTTAAAAAAGTCTATTTTTGTGAATGCTTTGTAATGTAAAAAAAAAGAAAAATTAACTAATGTTAAGATCCAGGGCTCCTTAGAGAAGTGGCTGATTCTGAGATGAGCCTGGAACGTCTAGTAGTGCCAGAAAGTGAGGAAATGCTAAAAAATAATAATTAAAAATTATGGAGCATTTTTTTTCTTTTTCTTTTCTTTTCTTTTTTTTTTTTCCCTTCCCTCTCCGCCCTGGATGGGACATGTTTTTAAAGGGACAAATGAACAAATGGATAGAGCTCCCCGTGGCCAAAGTGGGAACAATTTGAGTAATAAAACAAATTAGTACTGGATTATAACTTAAAGTATGGACTAAATATCCATAAATCCATACTGATAAAAAATAAATGATTAAATAAAAGGAAAAGTCTCCCACACAGAATTCCAAACTGTTCCATGGACACTCTTTCCTCAAGGGGGCGCAGCGTGACGCCCACTCTTCAGGTGTGAGCTGGCAAGTGACTCCCTCGCAGAGCAGGTGCAGGAGGACGAGGGTGGTGGGGAAGAGGTTTACGGCAGAGAAACCTGGCAAACACCTCCGCCAGGTGACTGAAGTCAACCCCAACAGTGATAGTTCGGCTTAGTACTGTGTACCCGTGATATGAGGTGATAAAAATGGCATTTCACCTCGAACATCCACCTCATCAAAAACAAAGAATGTCTGAGAAATTGTCACAGCCAAGAAGAACCGGTGGAGACACAAGGACCAAATGGCATGTGGCACGGGGGAGAGGGTCCTGGAACAGAAAAAATGACACCAGGTGTAGCAGGACGGTGGCCATGGAATTCGGAATCCGCTAAGGAGTGTGTAACAACTCACTTGCCGAATCAACTAAAAATAATATTAAAAAAAAAAAAGACACCAGGTAAAAACTAAGGGATCTAAATCAACTATGGACTTAGTTAATACTAATGTATCAATGCCAGGTTAACTGTGACAAGTACACCACACTAGTAAGATACTGGGTGTGAGGTACATGGACTCTCTTTTATGGACATGAACTCTTCAGGGACTCCCTTTATGATGCTCTCAGTTTTTCTATAAATCTAAAACTTCTTAAAAAATAAAGTCTATTTTTAAAAATCAGTACTATAGTCCATGAATATAAATCATTTATAATACACACTAGAGGATCGAGAACATTTTATTTAAAAAGAAATACATGATCAAAAGTTGTAAGGCCGGGCACGGTGGCTCACGCCTGCAATCCTTGCACTCTGGGAGGCTGGGGTGGGAAGATTGATCGAGACCAGGCTGAGCAAGAGCAAGACCCCATCTCTGCTAAAAATAGAAAAATTAACTGGGCTTCATGGTTCCCACCTGTAGTCCCAGCTACCTGGGAGGCTGAGGCAGGAGGATCCCTTGAGCCCAGGAGTTTGAGGTTGCTGTGAGCTAGGCTGACGCCACGGCACTCTA